ACCCTAAACCCTAAACCTTGGGGCACTTTGGGCATCCGTTTCCTTCGGGACCTTTTACAACCTCTCGAAACCAGCTTTGTCCAGAAACATGAGACCCTGTTCCGATAGATAGTAGGGTTTAGGGTTTAGGNNAGGGATAGTAATAGTAATGGTAATAGTAAACCTTTCTATTCCAAGGCCTTGTCTGCTGGAACCCCGAAGGTTGAATTGTACCTTGCCCCCAAGCCCATCTTATTGACAAAGCAGACTTAGTTCTGAGCCTTACCTTACATGGCATAAACAGACAACTAAAAGGTCAATTGGGCACAAAGCGCTCGTCATCATGAGCACACATGCACCATCCTACTCCACGCAACTTTCAGGCTAGCTGCAAGTCGCTGTTCTGTTCTGATGCTGAGCTTGTGTAAGCTCGGGGAGGATACTATCTGATAGGTTACTATCTATAGCACTCACTAAAGGGACAAGCCATACATGGAACAATTCTCCAGTGAAACCCTGTATGGCGTCACCAAAACATATTGAAAGCTGCAATACTTGAAATACACATGGTAGTTGTTCGAAATACCTGTCACCAAAATGGCCACAATCAAGGTTTCCCTTTAATTTAGGAAACCCCGTTGAGGACATGTATTCCCAATTGCCCCTCCTTCAGACAGGGCATTTAGGACAACCCTCAATATGGCATGCACTTCACGTAGCAGGTAGTTTCAAACCGACCAAGTCACCTCTCAGCCTACCCCCAAACCCTAACCCCAAACCCCAACCCCAAACCCTGAACCCCTAAGCATAAACACCATCACCTGGGCATGCACCTGACTACTACCCTGCCGGTGCTTAACGGGGAGTGGGGCAAAAAACACTCTTCAGCACGGCCGTAAGTGACTCTGAGATCGCGACCAGCCTGAACGAAGACCAAGATACCCCACTCATCACGCGAAACGAGAGCACCACATCAAGAAGTATGTCTGCACCGCTGCATGTCTGTGCACGTCCTGGACGTCCCACGCATTTCGTCACGCCATCTGAGGGGGGGTCCCAACCCAACCCGCACAAACGGCACGAAACGGAACCGCCCTCAGCACAGGAGGTGACCTTGAAGGTGACGTGACTGGGTGGCGCAAGATACGCGAAAGCCAGCCACAAAGCCTTCGGGCATACTTGAGGGGAGAGGGGGGAGGGGTGAATTTCTACACAAAATTGCGGCCAAAGGCCTCCAGCGAACATACATTATCGGAAAGATGGCTGCCATGCTTCATCGGAGTTCTGCTTCAACAGTCTGATGCGTGTAGGCAAGATAATATAGAAAGATTCTGATCTTCTTGTATACTACACTAGCACAACCAAAGGGAAAAGATAGTCTTACTCTACATTCTGAAATAGAGTATCTCAAATACCAAAGACTGTTCAAGTGGAATTTCTCCAAGCAGCGGTAAGTACCCCGTAGCAACACAACCCTAGGGATAAGCAGGATTACAAAGGGATCTTGGGGATGCGTAGTTGGTAGGGACTTAAAAGAGGTGCTTTGAGAAACTCGCGCATGGCCTTGAGCTTCTCCTCCAGGCTAGGCAATGACGCATCCAGGCGCTTGACCTCATCCAGGGAAGAGGGGAAAGGCAATGTATCACTGCCCCCGAATGATAAGAAACCAGCAGGCCGCATTCACAATACACCCAGTACACTTTTGTATCCTTAGAGAGGGCTTCGTATTCGGCACCTACCGTATCCATGCGGGAACCTACGGGATGATGGTGGTGACTCCAACCAGTGATCAGTGACAGAACCTGAGGCTACGAAGACCACTCATGATATGAAAAGCGAACCTATTGGCTTCAATAGTCCCCCTTAAGTAGATAGAATATGGCTTTGGGTATATTATAATAAGATCCCCATATACCCCATATTCTATCTACTTAAAGGGGACTATCAACCCTAAACCCTAAACTCTGAAACCAAGCACTGGACCTCCCCGGCGATTTCGGATCTTAGCTGGTCGTGGCTCAGCTTGACCACCTAGGCTCAAGGTGCTAAATAGGGCTCATACAGTTTTGTATAGGGATGTATAGGGGCATGTAGGGATATATAGGGTTACATAGGGTTTAGGGTTCAGGGCCGGGTTTAGAGCTTATATCGGGTTACACACTTATATATATATATAGAGAGAGAGAGAGAGAGAGAGATATATATATATATAAGGTTACATAGGGGTGTATAGGGATATGCAGGATTAACATGAGCTACAGTCTACACGCCTAGTATCCCGCAAAAGCCATATAATACTGCCCTATATATTTCCGTGTATAACCTTTTTTTAACCAGCTCAGACTGCAGCTCATATAGGGATGTACAGGGTTGCATAGAGGGTATATAGGGATATAGAGATTTTTGGGAAACGTGTTTAGGGACCTATGCTGTGGGTCACCATCACAAAGACGTAAAGCATCATGCTTTTTAGGAGTGGGGGGGGGGAGGGGGTGAGACCTAAAGGGCAGAGCAGACCACATCAACCATAAAGATGCGCAGCGATCTACTTGTGAAATAAGAGTCTGGATTCCATAGTCGAGATGTTGTCCCTCAACAGCCCTCCAGATTTGTGCACTGTGGATGCTAATTTCAGCCTTTTTGTTGGCTTTCGTGCGGTGATGACGTTTGCATGCCTAAGGACTGAGGGTTTGGATGAGCACAAGCATGTGACATTGAATCCTTCACCTACCCTCAATTACAATGAGTTGGAAGAGCGAACCTGCCAAAAGGCCTATGCCTTAGGGTCCCATGAGGCTCTGTCCCTAGCCTGGCTACTCGGCATGTTTGCTGCGTCGGTGGTTCTCATGATGACATAGTCTACCTTCCTTGCGTGGAGTAGAGTGACACACTGACCACGTGCTGATTGTTGTCAGTACAGTTGCAGAACTGCTGCCGACATGAAATTTTGAACTCTAACCTGATCCATGAAGTAGTTTCCATTAGTGCGGGTAATCCATATAAACCCCCAAGTCATATAATCGTTATTCTAGAGACCCCCAAAAAGTGGCCCCTAACCCTGGGGCCCGGGGGATATAGAGATCGTAGGAAGATTTCTGAGGTGACAAACTCCCCTAGACCCGAAAATCCATCGCGAGAGCTTCTCAAACTAATCCTTTTTCGAACCCCTGAAAAGGACCCCCTCATAATCCCCAGACAATCCCCTGTATCCCAAAGGTGCCTACAAACCCCCGAAGTCTTCAGTAAACCCTAAACCCTTAAACCCGAAACCCCTTAGACCCCAACCCTAAACCCCTTAAACCCAAAGCCCTTAAACCCTAAACCCTTTAACGCCTAAACTCTAAAACGCCTAAACCCTAAATCCTTAACCCCCTAAACCCTTAAATCCTAAAACCCTAAACCTTAAACCCTAAACCCTTAAATCCTAAAACCCTAAACCTTAAACCCTAAACCCTTAAACCCCTCCAGAAGCTCCCAGACCTCCTGACACCGGCGATTGAGCTCCTCGAACAACGTCTCGCGTTCCTTGCGGAGGTCCTCACTGTTAGCAGCAGGGTTAAGGGTAAGGGTTTAGGGTTCGAGGGTTTAAGGGATTAGTGCTTTAGGGTTTAGAGTTGAGTTGTGCGTTGACTTTCCGTGCGTGATACAGGGCCCACATGACACGCTCATTCTGTTAAACCCCCCAGAACCCGATGAGCCCTAAAGCTCGAAGCCTTGAGCAGGAAATTCAGGCTTCACTGGTACATCTAAGCCCTAAACCCTAAAGTTCCAGACCCTAAACCCTTAACCCCAAACCCTAACCACCCAGCCCTAAACCCTCCCCAAGGCACTGCGCTTTGAAGAGCCCAGTCCTCGCTGAGGCGCTCCACCATGGTAAGGGCCCACTTACGGCTCTCCTTTGCCAGCTGCTTAAACGGCATGGGGAGGGTTACAAGGCTTTTCGTCTTCCCAAAGAGTCCAACACCCTAAGCCCGCCCTAATGTATCCCTTATTAATAGCCCCCCGCCTCAATGAAATTTTGATAGGGATCCTAATATTAAGGCCCTTAAAAGGAGGGGTGGACCTACATTTAACCGCATGGCTGAAAATTCATCAACTTTGTTGGCTCTCGGCTGTAGGGCCTTCGGCTTAGGCCTGACGGCTTGGAAACATCCCCGTGACAGGCCACCTGTTGGCCAGCATGGACGTCAAATGTCAAATTTGTTGTGAACCGCCAACCTTCGAACCCAAGTTCGGGTTGCCAAAATTGGGGGCCTGAGGTCGACACGAAATAGGCACGAGTCGTGGTATTTTGGGGTGTGTAAGGGTGACCCCTTGCTTTCGGAAATTCCCAAACCTTCAAGACAGCCACATAAAGCCTAGAGCCAGGTCTTGGTTTTCTCGACAGCATCCCATTGAAAAGGCTGAACCACCTATAAATCCTAACATATAGGTCCTGCAAAGCACCACCCCATTACCCCGGACAAATTGGCAGTTGCTCGCCAATCCCACTGTCTGTGCAATCACTGCAACCCCCATGTACCCCAACATGCGATACAAACCAAGGGTTCCTGAGAGGGGCGCCATCCCAGTTCTAGGGGCGGCTCGTAACTGTCTTCCCCAATAGAGTCTGCTTCGATACACATCCACTAGCGTTCCCGAAAAAAAAGCTATAGAAATCTCCAAACACCATCATCAAAAAAGGACTACCTTACCTCAAGGTGTAGCTTTTCATGGTCTTGTCCATGCCCCTGTCTCCCTGTATATTCGCTATATCATCATATTCCTTGTATATTCGCTACATCATCCCCATGTCAGAGCGCCTCCTTGTGACCCGCGTGCTCTCGCCGGATGTCCTCCATCATGGCCTCGTGCTTCCGAGTTTGCCTTGCTTGCAAAGGGGCAGTTTAGAAGTAGGTGCTTGAGGGAGAGTAGGGGAGTGAATATGGGCACTCTTATAGGGGTATATATGGGGACTATACAGGGATGATTATAAGGATCCACTCCCCTGCTCTCCCTTAAGCGCCAGCAAGTTTACGGCTGCAGATAGTGTCCCATGTTGGCCATGACTACTCACTTAAGAATTCAGGGCTTAGGAGGATTTGGAGGTCCTGAAGTTACACTCCTGAGGGAAACCCACCCTCAAGCGAGGTAGTCGTCCGCCTTCATACGACGTGTTCCCAGAAATTTGCCGGTAAACTGAACTAAGGAAAGTCCAGAACAACACCAAGGCAAAACGAGACACGGCATTCCACCTGAGCGCGCTACTCTTGAATAGAATAAATTTACCTACCAGGGTGCTTATGTTCCTATCATATTCTTGGGGTTTCCTGTTTAAGGTTCCCATTTTACTGCCTTCGTAGGAGTGAGTGAATGCCCGAAGGCGTTTCATATTCCCAGTTTTCGCGTCATTGTGCATCTGATTTTTTGTTGGATTCTCCCTTCTAGGGGTACCATATAGACCCATTTTGGCGGGTTCCCCTTTATTAAGGTCATAATGTTTTGGGGTCTAAAGTGGGTCCCCCTATTTAGGGCCACCACCCTTAACCCTGAATCGTAAACCCTAAACCCTGTCCCCGAAGCCTAACTCCGAAACCCTACCAGCCCAAAGTCACCCCACCATCCCTGTTGTGCATGGTGTCTGCATAGAGAGTCTGAACAGCCTGCCACAAACACCAAAGCCCAGGACTGCTGCTCGAGATTAAGGTTTAGGGTTTAGGGTTGTTTGGGCTTGTCACTGGATGATTGTTCCAGTCACCTCGATGGGCACAGTTCAAATTCAGAAGCACAACCTGCAATCTGGGCAAGTTTTTGTCGGCCCCCCTCGGTAAGCTCTAAACCCTACAGCCTTAACCGAACCCTACATCCTGAACCCTGAATCATGAAACCACCCCCTTCTTGCAAAACTTTGAAATAAAGGCACACTTCGGTGAGGTCGGTGGACGCAGCCTCCCTGGCGGCTCGCTCCTCCTGCAAGGCTGAGCCATTCACGGTATAAGGCTTCAGGGTTTAGGGCTTACTGTAGGGGTCCCCTTACAAGGGACATTTAAGGGCTTAGGATGTAAGCAGGGGCCTAAACACTCAGAAGCCCGGAGAATATGGAACGCGAAATGGAAGCGAAGTTTGCATGGTGATTGTCTAGGTACGGCATTATATTCAATAATGAGAGTGCAGAATCATATGACGGCAAGAGGGTCCTCATGTTGGGGTTTTCGGTAAACAAAAACCCCATATTATTTAGGGATGATTTAAACGAAAGTGTGTAGGCATAGGGTTTGTGGGGCTTCAGAGTGGTTTCTCACTGGGTTTACTACGTGATGTCCAGGGAATAATTGGGAACTTCCCGTCCATGGCTTGGTGCGAGGAGGCCGACACACAAATTCTACTTACTGGTTCTTAGTACAGGGAATAAGAGAATACCTTATGTCGGGCTATATGGGGTTATAATCTTACCTCCTAACAACCGACAAGCCAGATTCTACGTCGAGAGGCCTCTCACAAGTCTGGGCTTCGGCAAAAAGGCTTAAACCTAACCCCGACACCTCAATCGGCCAGAACCCAATCCTTGATGCGCCAATGCAAGGCCGCATTACGTCCGAAATTGCACGAAAACTCCTGGCCTGAAAGCTTTGGCCTCACAACTCTGGATTCCAAAGCTGCCCAGACCCCTCCCAAGAAGGCCTCCAAAACCCGAATCCACATTGTAGAGCCAGAACAGTTACCAGCATTCTTCCTTGATAACCCTATATACTTCTGAGACTCCAAATCCCTATTCTAATGATTGAGGGCCCAAACCTTAACTCAGCCAAACTAAACCCTAAACCATATAGGCCCTATATCTGACTATACTGCAGAACCCTCCACCTTATCCCGCTATAGATCTCTACGTACGCACTAGATCCCCTATACCCTGCACGGCCCTGAACTCTAAAGGTAGGGGAACCGAGCCTGACGGAAGGCCATAGTTGTAGCCTCGAGCTTGGAAAAATCCGCCTGACTCCACCCAAGCCATATGGATAGCGGAGGGGCTAAGAAGGATAGATGGGTTTTCCCAAAGTTTTGGTTTAGGGCTAAGGGTTCCCCCTTTAAGTCGATGGAATAGGGTGTGTTTGAAGATCTTCATAGGGTCTGCTGTTTTGGGGCGGATTCCATATGCTATCTACTTCAGGGTGACTATATGGGAGGGTTTCCCAAATTAGGGGGGCCTTTTTGGGCGTCCCTGTCAGAAGGCTTCTGGCATCTCGGGGTCTATATTGGTGTCCCCCTATTTAGGGAAACTACCATAGGGGGTCCATCTACAAGGACTCTCTCCCATCTACAAGGACTAGAAGGATACAAAAGGGGTAAGGATGTTTGGGGTTTGGGGTCTGTGAGTAAGCGCTCAAATACTCGGGAAAATGGAGAATCAACGAACATGAAATCAGAACTGGAGGTATATGAGGTCTGCAGGGTCCGTACTGCAGTGACCTAAAACGTCTGAAAGGGCTTAGGAGTGTACCGTTCCATACTTTGTGAAGGGCTTTAAGACGAAAAGCTCTTCCAAACCTTGACAGGAATCTCAACCCAGGCACCGAAACCAGCCAATTTTAACCAGCACTACATAGCCTCAAACCAACTGGCCCCTTTCCCCCCTGTAAAAAGCCGCTTGGCGAAAGAATAATGTAGACCCATGATTAGTAAACCCCCTCTTTTCAAGGGCCTAACTAGTAGGATCCCCTATTATAACCGTATTACCTAAATAGTAGGATCCCCTATTATAACCCCTGTTAAGGGCCTGAATAATAGGATCCCCTATTATAACCCCTATTAAGGGGAGGGGCTTCATCAATCAGGGGTCTGGGTTAGGACTGATTCACGCTTTGGGGATCCCATATGGATAGCCTGGGGAGGTGATGACAGCTTTAGGGTCTCATGACGGATTCAGAAATCATGTGGTCTATAGTCTAAACTCCTAGCATCCCCCTTAGTAACCCCTATAGTAGTCCCCATATAATTCTCCCCTATATCACTCCCTTTAAGGAGTTTAGACTATGGCTCATGTGGTCCCAATTTCTTGGAGGCTACCATGCGATTCTGGGATTTCAGGACAGGTTTGTGCTCCTTGCAGCAAACGCATGGGAGGGTGCAGTAGATCTACCCTTCGCCAAAAAAAACATGGAACCGCCCTGCAAAGACCGCTATATCAATTGAAGAGAGCCCGCTTGAGTTTCCTTGATTGTTGAGGGTGCACTTATCTGCCCCGGCTTTTGCTCCCTGCAGCCTTTAGCGCATCGCCCAACTCGGGAAGGGCTCTCTCCTGGGTAAGCTGGAGGATTCGTGGATTTAAGATGTGGACGTGGGACGGTGGGTGATTTGAGGTCAAAAGAAGTGATGCAAAGGAGCTGGGTAACTCTGCGCACCTGCAGATTCGGGTTCAGCAGCAAGCAATCCCCAGATCATCTGCCCTCTAGCTGGCTAGGATAATGATAACTTTGATAGAATAGGTTCATACGGTGTTTCCACACGCCTCTCACTGAGTTTTGCCCTGCGCCAGAAACAACACCCGTCTCCGACGGTGACCTCTCGGGCATCCAGCTTATCTGCGCCTAACACGTATAGGGGCATCTGCAGCACATTCACGAACCCTCTTAATCCCCAGTCTTGGGAAATGCGAGGGAAACCACCCAATCCCCCCAAGGCCCCCAGACAATGTTTCAACAAGGGCTTAAGGATCCCCCTTTTTGGGTCCCTTTTATAGCACGGCCCGTTTTGACGACCCCCAGCTGCAGCCCTGCTTCCTGACCATCCAGGCGGGATGCCAAAGTCCCCACGGCACGTCCTAGTTGATCTCAAGGCTCCCGTGTTATGTGTGTAGGGCTTAGAAACCTACATGTTCTGTAGGGGAGGAAGGAGACGAAGGGGAGGGAGAGGGAGGGAGAGATTCTATACAGTTGTAGACTACCTGAACGTTCGGTGCGCCCTTGAAGCTTGCACAGGATACTGAAAACATGAGCACTCTACGGAACAACATAGAAGTTTGAAAGTATGTTCCACTTGCTGTTCAGGACTTGTAAAGGCAACTATGAACCAAACAACTTACAAGATATGCTCTGAGCGTCCATTCTCGCTCATGGCGGCCTCTCGGGCAAGCTGCTCGCGACCGAGCGCCTGCAGAAACACAGGGGTGGTGGAGATGGCAGGTCTTCTCCAAGCTACTGCCCTCACCTGCTAGAGCCATCCGTCTTAGGGGTTTCTAGTACACAAGATCCAGCCAAGTGCAAAAAGAAACCGTTCCTGTTTCTGCACTTACGCAAGCAATGAAGATAGATCACCCCAAGGAGCACCAACACAAAGCATCATCATCAAAAGAGGTAGCAAGGAATGATCTCCGCAAAGCCATTTCACCAGAAATCACCACAAACAACACGCGAAGAATCCCAAGTTCATGCTAGAAATGCTGGAGCACGAGCCACTATCTGAGTTGAAGTAGCGGAGATGATAGTCATGGCCGTCGCTGCTAGTCTTGACTTCAATGATTTTTGAAGTGTCATGACAGAGGATGACATCCGCAATGGCTTGAGAATTCAATCCTTTGCAAGAAGTACAAAAACAACTTGTCAAATCGAAATGGACCTGCCGCAATTTGATATGGCGCATCATGATTCGGTAGCATCATTACGCTGCTAGCCATGACCAGTACTAACACAAAGCGCTTCTTCTAACAGATTCTGGCAGGGAATGACCACTAATTATGATAATTAGTTGTTTGGTTGAAGCCCTGTTGCCACGCTCGAAGAGAGCGCGTCAACCACCAACACCACCGCGAATGAAACTCGAAAAGCTGCAAGGCTCCACTACTGCTACTACTACGATGGCCATTACTGCTACGAGTATTTGGTGCTGTAACGAGACTTGTCGCCGAGAGCCTGCTGAAGGGACTCCAACTTGCCCCCGGTGCGGTCCTGAGGATTCGGGTTGAGCTGCTGGATTTTAGTATCACCGAAAATCAAACGGAAAAAATGAAACGTGATATGGAACCTGGGGCTTATATGGATATAACACATTGAAATACAAGGTTATCCTGCGATTGCTAGTTGGGCATGATGGAATGGAAAAGCAGATGAAAAGTAATGACTTGAGGGTTATACAGGGGCTACAGTAGGCTAAATGGTTGAAGGTATGGTGTTTCAGGAGTTCGCGGTTTCGACCACCCATCTCGATCAGCAATCGCGTAGGGACATGTTATTTGAGTGCTCAAAACTCCGCAAAGACTGCATGCGAAACAGGAAACCCAAATGCCGAGAGACAACGCAGGCACTATGCTTGAATGTTGATGTGTTTATGACATGAGGCCATGTCCCTAAGCTAGTAGGGTGCTAGGTCCCATTCTTCCAAGGAAAGAACGAAGAGCGTCTAGATTCGAGCAACCTTTGCTGGATCAAGTGGTGAGAATTTGGCGTTTGGACATCCTTAAATCATGGGACCCAAAAAAGAGCCACCCTAAGAGGTCCCAGCATGTTGGGCAACCCCACCCCCAAATTTTGCTGGTATCTCAGCAAATGTTACATGCCTGAAACCTGGCATGCCTTGTTTGAGTCCACAACCCAAGTACCATAGCTTGGTAAGGCTCCGGACTTAAGCTTCATAGGGTGTAGGCCCACTACAATCTCTACCAGCCCTTCAAAATGTCCTTGGATGCCGGTAGGCCCGGGACAACCTTCATAAAGAGGCCTGACTTGCTCTAAGACTCTAAGCCCTATAGAGGCCCAAATTTCTAAACCCAAACTTAAGACCCCAGACCCCTGAACCAAACCAACGCTAACAACCACAACAACCTCGATCACCACCAAACTCATGCAATCCCTTTCCCTCAGGAAATTATGCTCCTCCGCCTGCCGGCGATCCGCAATTTCTGCATCCACCCGTGCCGTGAGCCTGGGCTGAAAAAGGCCTTGAGATCAACTTACCTAAAAAGAGTAAAATGGAGAACCCCAACAGGAATACAATAGGAATAGATCTACCTGGGTCCTGATCCTCCTCTTCTATGCCTACTATATTCTTGAGTTTCCCTGTTTTGGGGTCCCCTTAGTTCTGAGGCCTTGCGGGGTTTAGGGTACCTTTACAAGGAATAGAGGGGATTTATAGAGGTCATATAAGGAGAATGGAAAATAAATGGACACTACCATTTGGGGTTTAGGGGGTGGGGACGCAAGACCACTTGTGCGTCTGCTCGTACCAATCGTACTCATAAAGCATCTCAAGGGACAGGCGTTTGCGACTCCGATTTTGGCATGAGGCGCAAGCGTTGGATTGAAAGTTAACATGTTGACTTGAAGTTTCAATCAGTCGGCCTCTTTGGGATCACTGGGCACCATGAAAATCCTTTTCAGAGATTTGCCATGGAACCAGTTAAAGTCGTTTCAGATGCTAAAAACCTGCAAATGCTCCCGGTGTATGAGAGGCAAATGGCTACAAATGGTTAAGCTGATGCATGTCTATAACTTGCCCATACTCTTACACCTTGAAGCTGCACCGAAGGCCAAGCTACTCTGTGACCAATAAGGCGTGGGTTCTATACTATACTCATGGCCTCGCCAGACATAGACTATATCACATACACGCTCCAATTTCCTCCAGGAATCCGATGTACCTTCCCGCAGGCCGTACCTAGGCCCTGCCTCATATAACCCTCATCAGTCAAAATTCAGTGTAGCGATAAGGACAACAAGGGTTCCAGGAAGATCTCTGAAAAGCATGGCAGAGGTGTTGAGGTCAACTTGCCACACTCCACTTCCAACCTCAGTTCTATGGCACCCTTAATAATGACCCCGCTTGACCTCGACGGCCAGCATTTGAACCCTGACCCTAAACCCCCAAATCACCCGAGGTGCTGTGTGAGTCTATCCAACAGCTGAAGGTGCTGTTTCTGCGCTGCTTCTCGCTCCTGAATATGCGGGTCAGGGTCAGGGGCCTAGAACATATGGGTTTAGGGTTTCGGGGAGAATGACTTCGGGTCGGGTTAGGCATTTGGAGATCTAAATCTCTCGTGGCCGCAATCAAAAGCAGGCACCCAATATGATGGCGCCGGGGTCATGATACGGTGTTCACTTCAGTACATATCAGACCCTCTGTTGCACAGTGTCCAAGAAGAGCCGCCAAGCAGCTCTACTTTGCAAAGGCTAGATATTCCAATTGGGATCCCTAGAATGAGGAATACAATATATTGGGATATGTATTGAGGCCCCATGTTCATGAAAGCCCCCTCCTCTTGACTTCGAATAACTGCACGCCTGCCACTCATGGGCTTAGGGTTTTGGGTTTATCCGTTGAATCTACAACCTGATGTCTTCTTGGTATCCACGTGAAAACCCCCACTACAGAACCACAAGGATTTCGAGTCTTGACCTTTGGCATGGAAACCGAGAATGCTCAACAGAACAATTTCCTCTAAAAAACATCAGCGTAAGGACCCCCTCCCCCATACTAAATGCCTCCCTACTATATTTACTATCTGGTCTTTTATGGGGAATACTCAGTAGAGGGTGGGGGCGTAGTCCTTATGTAAACCCATATAATCCCATGTCCATCTCATTTTCCGTTTGGGTCTCCCTTGTTGGAATAACAACCCTAAACCGCATAATATATAGACTTTGTATATTTTCTCTACACCTTGTCTTTCCACTTCGACTTTAGACCAACACAAGGATTGCCAGGAGATGTTCTGTTTGCGTGTCCTGCCTCTGGGTAACCATAACTTGGACAATACTCCCGACCTGGAAAACGAATAGCCTATATTTTCGGTCCACGTTGCTTTGGTTCAAAGTACTCACGTATTTGGGCCTCCAAATAAAAATGTCTCAGGCCTGTAGCCTCAATTTCCTAGCAAGCGGGGAGGTGATTATCGGTCATCCACAGCAGGAGAAAACCTGCGACCCTAACACCACGGGTCGTACCCGTCCAGGCTGCAAGGCAACATCAGCTGCAGCCACAACTCACACGCATGATCTGAGTCAGCCTGGAAGTTTGACATCCCAAGCCTCACACAGAAAATCCCAAACCCGGCGCCCTGACCGCAAATCCCAAACCCCAAACACCGTCAGACCGATTAGACCCCAAACTCTACACCTGAAGACCAAAGTGCCTCGGCCACCAGGGCCTTCATGGCTGGGTCAAGTTCCTGGCTCAGATTGGCTTTAAGGATCATGTGGGGGTTTCCCAAAATTAGGGGTACCATTTTTGGGGGTCCCCATAATAAGGACTATAGTATTTGGGGGTCTATATTGGGGTTCCCCTATTTTGGGAAAGTACCATGTAGAACTGTAGAACCAAATGTAAAAAGAAACTCGGATATGAATCGGAAACAGGAATGGTATAGCTGTTTAGGACTTCGGGGCTTGGTATGTACATTTCTGCAGCACTAATGCTATCCATAATCATCGGAACTCTAGGGCGATGTGCGTGGAGTTGAACTTTGCGGATCTGAGCTTACCCCAACCACTACATATACCCATATACCCCTGTGGAACCCTACAAAATGACGAGCGGGTTTAGGGTTCGCAGGTTTCCGGCTGCGGGCTTCGCTGACGGAGTTTGGACAAGTCAAGGACAGGAAGGTCACTGAACAAACTGGACCATCAAGTCTAGTAATTTCTATTACTACTGCTTTTACTATTACTATTCCAGCTCGGCTAGAATACCGACACTCAACACCCCAGACCCTGTACAGCAGCAGCCTGTAACATCCTGGCAAGCAGAGCCCAACAATCACATTCCTGGAACAACAGGAACAGGAACGTCTGAGGGTTTCCCAGAATTAGGGGTGCCTATCTGAGGGTCCCCATAACAAGGACAATAGTACTTGGGGGGCCTACATTGGGGTCCCTCTATTTCTGGAAACTACCATCAAATAATCTCAAGAGCCTTTACCCTATTAAACAGTAGAACCACACGCTGGAACATGCCAAGCAAATCCCTGTCCTCGAGGCATTAGCAGGGACCGGGCAACAACCCCTGGTCAACCCTGCTTCGTACATTGAACCTTAAAAGACCTCTATAATCTACAACCTTTAAACGACCTCGATAATCTATAACCTTTTCAAATGGGCTTCAATCCCAAATCTGTCCTGTAAACCCTGTCCCTGGAACTCCAGACCCTACTCCCTAAAACCGTATTCCCTTCACCCTCTTTGTTGCATATACCCTCCCATCACCCTAAACCCTACATCCTTTGATCACCTAAACCCTGTAAAGGGACTTCAGTTCAGTCCTTGAGGCTGTTGAAGCGCTCCTGCGAGGCACTCTGCAGCGCTGCAATCTGCGCGTCGATCTCCGCCTTGTGCCCTTGGCCGTGGGCTGATCAGGAAGCCCTTAAGCCCTTGGGGGTTGAGAACTTAGGGTTCAGGATGAAGGGCTAAGGGCTTAGGATTTATGTGGGATCTAGGGCTTCAGGTTTTGAGAATATTTCCCAAATGACACGAGGATCCAAAGCCCATCCTTGCCCTAAATGGCTTGCTTGGTTGGCCTTTAGAGACCCTTGAAAAATATGAGTATAGATGGCTCCCTATAAAACCAATAAGGGACAATATTTAAAGAACCCAAAGGCCTACCCAGCTTACATCCTTATCCGGAAACCCTGCCTGCAACCCAGGTCAGACACCCCAAGGACTCAAACCATCAGGCCCCAGAGCAACTCACCAAATTCCTACGGCTTAGGTCATTCTCCCTTACCGCAGCTGGCGTCACACACCGTACCGGGGAAAAAAACATAGTACAACCCGTTTAGGGACTGTTATTGCAGGGGGGAATGCATGACCCAACCTACAGCCCGAAGCCCTGCTTAACAAACCTTCCACCCCTCCCCTTGCCATGCCTTACTGGCTGCTAGCAGGGAATGCAAGCATGGATCCGAAAGTCGCCTCCATATAACCTCCAAAAAAAATAGCTTCCATCTTCTTTGCCATTTCCTCAGCCCTCGAACCTAAAACGTAGTTTATATGTTGTTTCCAGTTCCTCCCTTCCCTGCGACTCATCTTCCCGTAATGGCAACCCTCCCAGCCCCTAGGAATGGACCCCCCTGTGTGGAATGATGTTATGTTGGTGTATTTCTGATTTAGGGGTGTGGCGGTATCCGGGGGAGAGGATTAAGCCGCATACGACCCCTCTCTAGCCTACAACCCAAACCCTGAACCCAGAATCCTAAACCCTAAGCCCTAAACCCTGAGTCCTACACCTAAGCACACCTTCCTAAGGCCCCCACGCTAAATCCTAAAAACCCCCAAACCTAAATCCTAAACCCTAAATCCTACACTCTAAACCCCAACACCCAAACCCTGAACTCCGCAAGCTCCCTGCTGCGCCTCGCAGCGATGCCTCCAGGCGCTCTATCTCCGCTCCCCGCGCTGCGGTTTCGGCTTGGAGCCTAAGATTTTGCGAGATTTGGGGCTTTTAGGGTGAAGGGTTTGGGGGGGTTTAGAGTTCAGGGTTTAGGGTTTGGGGTTCAGGGTTTGGGGTTCAGGGTTAAAGGTAGTCTCCATAAATATGATAGGGCAACCCTAAAAAAGACCCCGAAAATGCTATACTCCTTCTTATAGGGACGCCGAAAAAGGCACCCCTAGTTTGGGGAAAACCTCGGGTCTGTTTAGTTAGAAGAGGGTTCCGGGGTATATCATTACTATATAGTTGTGTAAGGACTATATGAGCATCGTATGGGGAGGATATATGATATGGGCGTTCCGACTTCTACTTGCGATTTTACAGGATTGGGGTACCCCTTAGCTTTAATTAGGGGCTAGAGAAGACACGAGGATCAAAAAAAGGCATAATAGGGTCCTCCTTAATGATTACGGTGGGGATATTTGCCTTCTGGGCTTGAGGAGTATAAGGTCATGTCGATTTTCGTCCATCAGCCGGATTGCTCTGTCATGGGGGATAATGGCACTCTGGACAGCGGATCTGTTCCAGTAATCAGCCCGACATCTGGGCTCATGCCGGGTGAGTGTGGGATGCCGATGGTGAAAAGCAATTGTGGGCCACGTGACCCTTATTTACCAAACTCTAGACAAACTGGTACCCTCAAGAGCCCTACGAAAGATCCACAGCTTTTATCGCGCCAAGGCCGACCATTCTCTGAATCCAAATCGGATCAAAGTGCAACATGCACTCAGGAAGTTCCAACCTTGTGGAAGCGTTGACTACAAGACTTTTGAGGAGCACATGCATGTGCCACTCTCAACCAGTGCCTCGCAGCAGCTTCTCCGTTTCTTTGTGGCCCTGGAAAGCTGCCTCCATGACAGCTGTCTTTCCATAGTCATCTTGCACGTCCTTTTCAGCACCAGCTGTCAGCAGCAACTGCACAATCTTCGTGTGACCCCTCGCAGCTGCCTCCATGAGAGCTGTCCTGCCCTCGCAATCCTTCAAGCCCTTGTCTGCACCAGCTTGCACCAGCAACTCTGCGATCTCCGTGTAGCCCTGGAAAGCTGCTACCATCAGAGCTGTCCTGCCTTCACGATCCTTCAGGTCCTTTGCGGCATCAGCTTGCAGCAGCAACTGCGTGATCTGTGGGTGCCCCTTCCTAGCTGCCACCGTGAGAGCTGTCCTGCCATTGTTATCCTGGAAGTCCTTCTGGATACCAGCCTTCAGCAGCAACTGTGCAATCTCCGTGTTGCCATTGCTAGCTGCCTCCATGAAAGCTGTCCTGCCCTTGTAATCCTTTGAGTCCGTCTCGGCACCAGCTTGCAGCAGCAATTGTGCGATCTCCGGGTAGCCCTGAAAAGCTGCCTCCATGAAAGCTGTCCTGCCTTCGCGATCCTTCAAGTCCTTGTCAGCTGAAGCTTGCAGCAGCAACTGTGCGGTCTTCCTGTTGCCTCTGCTAGCTGCCTCCAAAAGAGCTGTCCTGCAGCAGCGGTCCTGCAAGTCCTTTGCAGCACCAGCTTGCAGTAGCAGCTGCACGATCTCAGCGTGACCCTTGCGAGCTGCCAGCATGAGAGCGGTCATACCCCACTTATGCCGCGAGTCCTTTTCGGCGCCAGCTTGCAGCAGCAACTGCACAATCTCCGTGTAGCCCTCGAAAGCTGACAACATGAGAGCTGTCCTGCCCATGCGATCCTTCAAGTCCTTGTCGGCACCAGCTTGCAGCAGCAACTCGGCGATCGCTGTGTTGCCCTTGCTAGCAGCCTCCATGAGAGCTGTCGTGCCCTCGTTATCGCGCAAGTCCTTCTCGGCACCAGCCTTCAGCAGCAACTTGGCAGCCTCTAATTTGCCGCGCCGACAAGCAACACCAAACACCTCGGTAGTCTCCTTCAGCTCCACGGCTGTGGACGCCGTCGCCAAGACAAGCTGTAGGTGGATTGAAGCATCCAGCACGTCTGGCTTCGCAGACTTATCCAAACTGTTGCCATCCTGTAGCACTGCTAGCTTGGTCGAATCATCCAAGCTGCTGCGCCTATGCAGCAGCTGTTGCAGGCAAACCGGAAAGCAATGCAGATTACGCAGCTCACGCTTCAAGTCGCGTATGTCACAGATGTTCTTAGTGCTGATAGCAGGCAGCTCCTGCCCGGAAATCAGGCAGATGCGGAGCATGCGGGCCAAAGGAAGTTTAGCTGCAGCCGATATAATGTTGATTACACGCCACGGTTAGAAACAAAAACCAATACTGCCATAAGAAGGTTTGGTTACGCTAGCATCAATACGGCAAACCTCATGCAAAGGCAGAATACATATTTTTGTTGCTTGAAGCAAAGCGGAACCTGACACTCTTATCAGGTACTGTTATACCCTAAAGGAAAACCAATTCTTACTCTATGTCACTCTATGTTGGTGGCTCTAGTATTGGGGCTTTAGTATCCCAATCTAAACTGTTCCAAATGCTGGGCATCGACTTGGAGCCTCGTGCAGCCAGGCAGAGTCCATCGATGCAAGTCGGAACCCACACCCTCAACCGTGCGGTCGCAGTAGGAGATGAGAAGGAGGGGGAGTAGGAGGAGTTGTGGAAGTGGAGACGAGATCTAATCAACAGCTGGGAAACCCGAAAACCAATCGGGTTCTTATTGCTGCCTTTGCGAGAGAATTCATATGGAATTACTCTACAACCGCTAGGAAAGAAGACCAATAGCAACCGTTTCGGAAGGAATTCTTAGCTCAACCCTAAGACCTAACAAAGATTGGACTGGGAACCTGCTTCGCACCTTCAAATGGTGCCATGTCACCTGCTCAAGATTTCGGACTTTGTGTCTGACTGTCGTAGTATACGTTGGGCACAGCCCCCACTCAGTAACAGCTGGACAAGAATTATCATGTAATGGTAAAGCCCTCAATTTACCCTAAGGCTGGCTAATGTTGATTTGAAGATGTGGGGACTGTCGGGCTGGCACAGGAATGTTTGATATTTAGGGCTGAGGAATAAGGGTTTAGACACGCGCATCGCACAAAGTGCAGGCATGGCATAAGGGTTTAGGGCTTAGGGTTTAGGCTCTGGATTTTGGCAGGCTGGTGCCAGAGCCTTGGGATTCCTTGAAAAGTGGGTTTAGGGTTTAGGGTTTGGGTTTAGGGTTTAGGGAAGCTTATAGTTTGTTAGCGGTATCTAATGATATCCCTACCCAGGAGTTTCCGTATGGCGAAGCTTCCTGACTATTTGGGTACTTGTGTGGCTGTACGCAGAGAGCTCCATACCTCTAGTTTAAGCCATCTACCCGAAGTGACACTAGGATCCCTATTATGATGAAGCATACTTCTTAATCAACTTACTGGTTCTTTTAGTAGGGAATGCGGGAATATAATCCCTATATAACCCCCATGTATTATACTTGTGTTATTTTCCCGTTTTCCCTGGGAAGAATCAGGAAGTTAACTCCCTGTGACTAACCTACTTACTAATTCCCCCTGACCCCCAACCCTGAACCCCAAACCTTAAACCTTAAACCCTACTTCCTAATCCCTAAACAATATGTAGTGGCTTCCATATTAAGCCATCACCAAGGAGCTTGGCAGCAGCCTCAGCCATGGAGTTTTGCATCGAAGCCATGGCGGACTTCCACTGCTGCTCAGCCTGCGTGGAGGGTCAATGGGGATTCATAGTCCCCCTTAAGTAGATATAGGGGTTATGGGGGCTTTACTGGGGCAATGGAATAGAAAATGGAAACTACTATTTAGGGCTTAGGGTATATGATAGAATATGGGTATATGGGGATCTTATCATAATATACCCACAGCCATATTCTATCTACTACTTAAGTGGGACTATCATTAGTAAGCAGGTTAACAATAGGGATAACCACGGATACTATGTAGCTTATGGGGGTTCTAGGTATACTTACTACGCCCCCTGACTCACCCTGCAGATGTCTTAGGGGGTTCACAGTTGAGATGGCCAAAGGATGTGCGAAGTACGGGGCTTAAGGTCCAAGGGATTTGCAGCTGGAATCTTGACAGAATCCCGTCGCGGATTTCTGACTCAACCTTATCCTTACATTTTTGTCGATTCCTGACGGATTTTACCTGGTTTTCTTACAGCGCATGTTGGCCTTCAAACCCTTATCGTGCGTGTTTATTCCGACAGAAACTCGTGAGTTTTTGCTGCGACAGAGCATCCCAAACGCGTAAAGAAAGTGGGTTTGCAGTGTCGGCTGGTGAAACTGGTGAGAGTCTGCGAAGCTGAGGCTCCCACCAGCAACTAGCGAATAAATGTGGAAAATATCACATGTGAGCCCTACCAGAACTACGTACATGTATTAAGTCTCAAACTACATGTCTCCTGGAAGAAGTGAAAAATTCTTCCCATAGCCGTAAATGGGTGAAGTCCCTGAAGGCCACTCAAATCTATCCCTGGGGCTCCAAACAGCCCAATTTGCAGGTGATAACTCGACTTTGGGCAACAGTGTCGATAGTATTTCTAGGTTTAGATCCCTACATACCCGCTATATAACCCAAGCCCTAAGCCCTAGTTTCCATTTCCATGTTCCATCCAAGTGTAGGTCTCTTTATGGACTAAAAGCCCCAAACCCCTAAACCCTTAAACCCTAAAACCCTAAACCCTAAATCCCTAAAACCCTGAACCCCAAAACCCTAAATCCCTAAACCCCAAACCCCTAAATCCCTAACACCCTGAACCCGGAACTACCCTTATAGTACCCCTTACATAAAATACTATACCCCAAAGGAGGATATAATCTTACTCTATATGGGGTACCATAGTATCCCCAAATGAAACACTACTCAAGTGTAGGTCCCTTTATGGACTTAAAGCCCCAAGCCCCTAAACCCTTAAACCCTAAAACCCTAAACCCCTAACCCCTAAACCCCTAAACCCTTAAACCCCTAAACCCCAAATCCCAAAGTAGGTCCCTTTATGGACTTAAAGCCCCAGGGTGTGGGCCTGCTCTAGGCTGGCCTTTCCTTTGGCATTCAGGGTGTCCTGAAGCCATGCGGCTTGGGGATTTAGGGTTGTTGGGTTTTGGATTGTAAGGTTTGGGGTTTTGGGTTTTGGGTTTAGGGTTTTAGGGTTTTAGGGTTTTGGGGTTTTAGGGTTTTGGGCTTTAGGGTTTTAGGTTTGAGGTTGAAGGTTTGGGCAAGTTTTTCTCACACTAGCGAGCTGTAGCGTTGAGTTGCGAGGTACTGGGATCATGCAGAAAGGCTATGATCCCCCTTAAGTAGATAGAATATGGCCTTGGGTGTATTATGATAAGACCCCCATATACCCCATATTCGATCTACTAAAGGGGGACTATATGGACAAACAGGAGAGAGGGAGGGAAAAAGAGAGAGAGAGTAGATTTTCTCGCCACTTCGAAGAGGCCCGCAAAGACTGCCGGCCTGTGGAATATCAAATAACTAATCCCCTCCCCGCAAGATTAAGCCCCTCACACCCCCTATTCCTGAATATTCCGAGTATAGTATAGTATACCACAGTGAGAATATTTGATTTAATGTTGGGGCTGGAGGGCTGTAATATTAGGAGGTGCCTTGTGGAGGCTACCAATGACAGCCTACCAACATAAGCCGAGACCCTCCTACCTCAAAACCCGCAAACCTCAAAGCCGGTTGCGTGAGTAACGTGCTGTGCCTTTGGACTGCTGATGAGTGATACACGCAAAAATGGTCTCACAGCGCAAACGACCCTCTTGAGCAGAACTTGGGATTATCTCTTCGTGGCGGTCTTTGTCGTGAAAGTCTCAAGGCCTGGCCGCATACCGTGCAAAGTCTGAAGCCTACAAACGCTCTAGAGTGCAGGGTTTAGGTTTACGGTTTACGTTGATCATGGGGTTGTTCAGGGTCCCTCTGTGAAGGGGCCCCATGCGCCTTAACTCCTCCCTGGGCCCCAATAACGCTTACGGATTTGGCAATCAAGCTCTTCGGGTTACGCCGCTGATGACCTCATGTGCCTCACAAATCCTCGAATTCTTGCAGACCAGACGCCCCCAACTCTTTGGAAATGTCTATTTTGCCAAGCCCTACCCCCTAAACCCTGAGTAGTACTTTCTGTGCATTTTGTCGATTTTCCCGATATACACCAAGACCTAAATGGTAGTTTCCCGCTTTCTTTTCCGTTCTATATCCCTATATAATCCCAGAAACCCTACATAGTAGTTTCCATCTTCTTTTCTATTATCCCTACATAATCCCAAAAACCCGAAATAGCAGTTTCCATCTGATTCCCTATATAGTCCAAAAATCCCTAAAGCTTAAATAGTACTTTCCATCTTCCTTTCCATTATCCCTACATGAGCTATAGTCTAAACTCCTAGTATCCCCCTTACTAACCCCTTTCAGTACTCCCCTATACAAACCCCTATATACACCCCCTTTAAGGTGTTTAGACCCCAAACCCTAATCCCTAAACCCTAAACCCCAAACCCTAATCCCCAAACCCTAACCCCAAACCCTAATCCCTAAACCCTAATCCCTAAACCCTAAACCCTACTCCCTAAACCCCAAACCCTAATCCCTAAACCCTATATATAGCCCAAATAGTCCAAAAATCCAAAAGCAAGGCTGAGACAAGCGGCCAGCCGCTGCTCAAGCTGAGATCTCTTCTCTGCTTCGGCCTTGAGCTCCTGGGCCTTGGCGTGGGGTTTAGGGTTCAAGGTTATATAGGGGTTCTATAGGGGTTATATGGGGGGGGGTTCAGGGTTATGTAGGGGTTCTATAGGGGCTATATAGGGGTTCTATAGGGGTTCTATAGGGGTTTTACAGGGGTTCTATAGAGATCATCTGGGGGGTTTTGGGGGTTCTCTGGGGGTTATATGGGGTTTATAGGGGTTCTATAGGGGTTGTATGGGGGTTATAGGGGTTCTACGGGGGGTTCTATAGGGGTTCTATGGGGGTTATATGGGGGTTATAGGGGTTATACAGGGGTTATATGGGGTTTATAGGGGTTATAGCAGGGGCTCTATAGGGGCTACTTGGAGGTTAAGGGTAATTATAACCCAATTGGGATTATGTAGTGCTAGAAAGGGTTCTATTGGTTTTCTTGTGGGGGTCCATGGGGTTTAGAGTAGCTATGACCCAATTGTGGCCATATTTGAGGACTTGGGGGGCTTAGACTTGGCTTGTAGGAAGTGGGTTACATCTGCTCTGAGCCGCCA